CCGACCACCCCCAGCCCCTCAGGGACACACGGACTCGGTGGAGACTTCACAGGGTGAGCTTTATTTGACTGTTAGAAGCTGTCAGCTCCAGAGCAGCATGTCAGACGGTGCACGACATGCAGCTGGAGGATGCTGCCGGGGCTTTCCTGCTGCCGCTTTAGTGGTACTTGCGGGCCAGAGCGTGAGCGACCACGCGGACCAGCTTTTGCCAGGCAGCCTGGCAGTCGGGAGTGAAATCCTTGGCGAAGTGGGCAGCCAGGACGATGATCAGGATGTCACCCAGGAGCTGGGGGGAAAAGAGCATCCTTGAGTTAGCAATGCCCAGGAACTAGCAGGTCCTCACATCAGCACTCGCATAAGACCCAGGGAAACCTCCGGGCATTTTGTAGGCTTAAAAATGTCCCTAGGGTCCTTTTTAAGATGTACCTTAAGCTTGTTCTCTGCTCTTACTCTAAAGATTCAGGTTCTGCTACTGCTGTGGGAAGACTAACCAAAAATTCTCCAGAAATGTTGTTGATTAAATTTTTCTTTCTCCCTTCTGGCTTCATTTGGGAGTTTCTCCCGAGCAGAAGATACAGCTGAGCATCTGCCGCGCGGCAGGGAGCTGGCACGCAGCGCTGCAGAGCGCCCTGGCATGAGCAGCGAGCTGTGCTGACACGGGGGGATTTCTGCCATTCCCGGTGACAAATGTCGGGGTTACTTCCCCACTAGGAAACTCTCAGCTGCAGAGATGTGGGAGCTACAGTTTTCTCTCCCTCAAGGTCCCATTCCTCTTCTGCTTTTGGCATCTAGCCGCTGTCTCTTGCTCCTCACTCATCTCTCTACTCCGTGCCAGGCTTCACTCATGCTCCTTCGCTTTCCCCTTGGCTCAAACCTCTTCCTGCTCAACAACTGCTTTCGCTTTACTCTCCCCCTCCCTTTCTGCATTGAAACCACCTCCTCGCCGCATTCCCATTCCTGTGCATCCTCGTTTGCACCCTCCAGACAGCCCCTCCATAACCATCACAGCTCACCAAGCTGCAAGTTGCTCCCTTTACTCTCCATCCTTCTCCTGCATCTCCCCCTCGCCCCAACCACCACCAGCCCCTCTTCCTCCTGCACCGGCATGTCTAGGGCAAATCCCTCACATGGGGGGGCTTGGGGTAAGGGCAGAAACTGCCCATAGAGACACAGCGGGGAGGACGGGTCCCCTGGTCGGGAGCGTGGCTCACCCTGAAGTTCTCGGGGTCCACGTGCAGCTTGTCGCAGTGCAGCTCGGACAGCTGGGCGAAGGTGTTCTTGATGTTGTCCAGGTTCTTGACGGCTTCCCCGAAGGAGGTGAGCACTTTCTTGCCATGAGCACGGACCATGGGGTTGCCGAGGATGGCGGTGGGGCTGGAGAGGTTTCCGAAGGAAGCGAAGAACCTCTGGGTCCAGGGGTAGACGATCAGCAGCCTGGGGAGAGATGGAGGGACACAAGCAGACGCGTTAGTGCTCCCATGATCGGAGTGGTTTCTTTGTCCAAGGTGCAGCTGAGCAGATGCCTGGTAGCTGGACCTACCTGGCCAGGGCCTCGGCACCGCAATCGCGGGTCCTCGGCACCGCAATCGGCCACATTGACCTTGCCCCAGAGGCCGGTGATGAGCTGCTTCTCTTCGGCTGACCAGTGCACCATGGTGGTGGGTGGAGGGTAGCGTGTGGCTGGTACGGAGGAAGTCTTGGCTCTTGCTCCCGAGGGGATCGCACGCTGCTGAGCAGCTCTCCCCGTCCCCACTTTTATGCGCTACCCTGGGCCCCTCCTCTCCCCTGTGCACCCCTCCATTGGCTGGGCCCCCGGGGGGGCCCCGCAGCCCTGGCACCCCAAGGGAGGGGACGCGATGTCAGGGTGGGGCCCCGGGGCAAGATGCCCAGATCCACGGCTGGGACGCGCTGGCGGGCCGCCCTCCCCCGGTCTTTGATTTCTGC